CTGTAAATAACGCATTTTTTTACGTAATTTTATTTAATCATAACATCTCAAAGTCCTTTGAAAAATGCAGCACAATATAGAATGTGGTACAGCAAATCGCGATGGTCAAACAATAATATACAAAAACGAAAAAAACTGAAAAAGCTTTTTGAAATATTTCTTTGATTCAAAAAAAAAATTTTCAGTGTTGTCTAAGTCATAGCCATTTTTTCAGCTCTTGCTACAGGATCATCGATACTGTTTAATTAATCATAAAACTTTTTCAGCTTTATCTCAACTATCATCATCTTTTTCACGTCCACAAATTGCAGAAATCGTGTACTTTCGTTAAAAATAAAAGTTTTTACTAATCAAAAACTTATGTCCTCTACAAATTGCACAGATTCAATTTAGTACAAAAAGTTTTAAACTAGAATCTTTTTGAATAGTTTTACCATTTCATTTAAAATTAATAAATTTATAAACTTTGTAATCAATTGAAAATTTAAAACAATTTTACTTTGTTTAAACTCCATTTTATTTATGTTAGCAAATGAGAAGTAGCCGCCTCCGCTACTAGTTTTGGGTACCCCTAAGTAGTACTCCGTACACTAGTATTTAATCCCAGTACAATGGTACTTCGACCCACTATACTTATGTTGAGGTCCACTACGTTAGTATTCTGATCCAGTATACTGGTATTCAGACCTAGTATATCAATATTTGGACCCAGCATACTAATATTGCAACTCAGCATACTAGTATTTCGACCGAATAGATTTAAAAAAAAATCGTGTTTCAGACAGACAGCATGAATTAATTATTGCCATATAGACATTAGACATCAGTCTAGGAAACAAATACAAAACTTCAAAGTAAAACTTAAAAAAATTAAGGAAACCGAGAAGACCTCTTGTAAATCCAAAAATAAACAACGCAAGGTGAAAATGAATCCAAATACATTTAAAACCTAAAACTTCTAAGTCAAAAATTCCAAAAGCGACAAAAATTAAAAGTCTTCTAAAAATCAGAAAAATTTAAAAAAATAATTATGCATCATCAGCTAGATAGTGGTTTAAAAAACGCGTGTGTCAGACAGACATATAGACAAGATGAATTAATTATCGTCTGGCAGATCTTAGACCTTAGTCTAGGGATAATCTTGAACCTTTTCAGTACATATTTACAATCATAAATCGTTTAAAAACTCAATGATGGCATAAAACGTTGTTCATTGTAGGTTTTGTTCCTTCGTGCTTTGCGAGAAAATTGTGGGCTACGAAATTTTTCTTTGAAAGATTCGCTATTCCTGACATTTTCTAAAAAGCATATCAGACCTTTCAATGAATGGAATCCTCTTATTTGACAAATTATATAGGAGGGTTTATAAAAATCTCTATCATATGAAGAAACAAAAAATATATTCTACAGTTTGTCATGAATGGATAGAAAAGTTATTTTTCTCTCTTCATTTTTTGCAGCAGTCTTTTTCTCATAGTATCTCGTCCTTGCAGGCGTGTGTACAAATCCTTACACAAGTTCAACAAGAGTCAAGACAGGCTCCTACCTTAGATCTGTAGCGCTGGGCAAGTTCAACAATAACAAAAACTTCTATCTAGCAGTAGCCAACTTGTTCGATAACGAAATTGCGATACTGTTTGCAAATGGTAATGGAATTTTTGCAATGCGGCAGTCGCAGTACTCTCTTGGTATCCCACCAGGCTATTTAATTGCAGGTGATTTTAACAACGATTACAAACTGGACTTGGCAATAGTCATAAGGATCCACAATTCAATCGGCGTGTGGATTAACGACGAAAGTGAAGAATTTCTGAATAATCTAACTCTGTATATGACTGGTAGAGGTCCGAACTCTGCGATATCAAGTGATCTCAACAATGATAACATATTGGATTTGGTAGTAGTTAATCGAAATGACAACAGCATCAGCCTGCTGCTTGGTAATGGTGATGGGTCCTTTCAGAATCAAATTAAGTATGCGACTGGCAGCCACCCTATGTCTGTAATAGCAGGTGACTTTAATGGCGATATCAAATTGGATTTGGCAGTAGCTAATAGTGGTGATAATACTGTCAGCGTGCTGCTCAACATTGGAAATGGGACTTTTCTCGCTAAAAAAACATTTACGACTAGTAGCTCTCCACAATGGGTGATAGTAGGTGATTTCAACGATGATGGAAAACTAGATCTCGTAGTTGCCGACGCAGACAACAATACTGTGAGCATACTGCTTGGAAATGGAGATGGAGCCTTCGAGAATCATACTCAATATGCAACTGGCAACTATCCCGTCTCTGTGACAGCAGGTGATTTCAACAACGATGAAAAACTAGATATAGCAATAGCTAACCAAGGCGATAGTACCGTAAGCGTGCTGCTTGGAAACGCAGATGGGACCTTTCAGCCTCAACAGAGCCATCTAACTGGCTCAGCACCCGAATCCTTGATATCAGTTGATCTCACTAACGATAACAAATTGGATTTATTAGTGGTTAATAACAACGATATGACCGGCAGTCTATTAGTTGGTAATGGCCATGGTACCTTTGATTGTCAAAGAGTATTTGTGACTGGTAACAAGCCTACATCTGTGATATCAGGTGATTTCGATAATAATAGCATACCTGAACTGGTAGTAGCCAATGTCGGCGATGGAACCATCAGCGTGCTGTTTAGAGATACTAGTACAAGATTCACAATCCGTCGGTCGGCATATTCGACTGGCAATTTGCCTGCCTCTGTGATATCATTTGACTTCAACAATGATAACACATCAGATCTGGCAGTAGCCAACTATTTTGACAACACTGTCAGTGTGCTGGTTGGCAATAAGAATGAAACCTTTCAGCTTACAGGAATTTATCAAACTGGCAGTGCACCCATCGCTATTGTATCAGCTGATTTCAACAATGATAGCATGGCAGATTTGGCAGTGGTTAATTCTGATGATGCTAGTGTAAGTGTGTTGCTTGGCAATAGAAATGAAACCTTTCAAGATCAAATGATATATGCGACTGGCGACTCTCCGATCTCTGTGATTTCAGGTGATTTCAACAGCGATGGAAGACAAGATCTGGTAGTGGTCAATAATGAAAATTCGAGTGTGAGTGTTTTGCTAGGCCGTGGAAACGGTACGTTTCAGGATCAAGTCAAATATGCGACTGGTTCCTCTCCTAGCTCTTTGACGTCCGGTGATTTCAACAAAGATGGAAGATTGGATCTGGCAGTAGCTAATAGTAATAACGACACTGTCAGCGTGCTGCTAGGCAATGGAGACGGAAGCTTTCAGGATCAAACCAATTATAGAACTGGCGGATCTCCTTACTCCGTGATCGCAGGTGATTTTAACAACGATGGTAAAGTGGATCTGGCAGTAACTAACTACAAGGATGCTTCTATTAGTGTTCTACTCGGTAATAGAGATGGGTCTTTTCAGTCTAAAAAGGACTATCCAACGGATAACGGTCCGTGGTATATGGTATCAGGGGATCTCAATAATGATAACAAAGTGGATCTTGTAGTAGCTAACACATTCTCTGGAGACTTGAGTATTTTCTACAACTCGTGCGCGTAATTGATCATTAGATTTTTCATTGATTGACATGTAAACTGATTATTAACCAAACATAAAAAGTGTCATAAACTATAATAAACAAGCACAACGTGTTCCAAAAGTTCAATCCAACAAGAAAAATTCCATATCTACACCGCTCTTGCATCAAATGAGCTTATTTTTTCTCTGGTGGTGGAGAATATCCCATTGAAGTATAAGTTCTGAGAATTTTTTTTTCTGATTTAACAATAACTTTATTTTTCAACAAAGATATGCAACATCAATCAACAAGATAACCGCCATTATTTTCGACAACCTTCGCCCATCTTTCTGGCAATAGTTCAATTTCACGTCTATAGAAACTACCCGATTTTGATTCGAAAAAGGCAGTTAGATCGGATTTCGGCTCATCGAAGTCTTCGGAGTGTTTATTGCACAGGCAGTTACGAACAGGTAGGAACAGATGAAAATCGGTTAGTGCAAGGTCTGGTGGCCACGGCGGGTGCGGAAGAACTTCCCATCCTAACTGTTCGATTTTTTGCTGAGTCAACTGTGCGGGGTGGCTGTGGATGTGTGGGTGTAGGGTGTGGGTGGAGTGTGGGTATGGGGTGTGGGTGGAGTGTGGGTATGAGTGTGGGTATGGGATGTGGGTGTGGGTGGAGTGTGGGTGTGGGTATGGGATGTGGGTGTGGGTGGAGTGTGGGTGTGGGTGTGGGTATGGGATGTGGGTGTGGGTGCAGTGTGGGTGTGGGTGTGGGTATGGGATGTGGGTGTGGGTGCGGGTGCGGGTGTGAGGCAATAAAGGCAACATCCACACCCACCCACATCCACACCCACCTACACCCACATCGACACCTACATCCACACCCTCACCCCCACCCACACCCACCCCACCTTTAACCTTTAACCTCCTAGGAAACTTTAGTTATGCAAAATTCATTCTTGAACCCACTATGGACAAGAATGATCATTATATCTGTTAATAACTCGATGAGCTCTACAAATTCAAATTACTAAAAGTTAGATAACGTTTGATCAATTGTATGTGTTCCCTCGTGAGTTGAAATGTTTCTCACTAAGATCGAATTGGTATACATCTTGTTATGACAATCGTATTGTTCCATTTCTTCGTCGAATGTTAAATCTTGAGGAATTAACATTATTTCTTTCAATAATAAGAATTGAATCAACTTATATTAATGGTCCTCAATTATACAATGATTTTCTCATGTATATGCCACAACTAAGGATATTTAATTTCAGTACACATACTATTATTTTCAACAATGACGTTGATGTTGATCTTCCATCAAAGAATGATATTCTCAATAGTTTCATTAAAAGAGGATTGAAACAAGTGGATTCATAAGCTGATGATTAGCTCACGAACAACTGGGGTTTCTGTCATGTCTATTTACTTCCATATTATTTCAATAATTTTTTATTTATGACAAGTCGTTTTCAAGGTGGTATGCTCAATAAAGTTCGATGGTTGACAATGAACGATACACGTCCATTTGAAAATAAATTATTTAAAATCATTTCACAAGATTTTCCATTTCTCGAAAGTCTATCAGTTGTTAATCGAGCTTCGCAAAAAAATAAGGAACATTCGTCTACATTTATCACATTTCCTCATCTACTGAGACTTGATCTCGCATTGACACATACTGATTATGCCATACAATATCTCTTCGACAAAAACACTATTTTACCTCGGTGGAGGGTGTGGGTGTGAGGTGTGGGTGTGGGTGTTGGTGGGGTGTGGATGTGAGTGTGGGTGTGGATGTGGGTGTGTGGGTGTCATTTCTCTCTTCATCCACACCCACACCCCACACCCACATCCCACATCCACACTCACACCCACACCCACACCCACACCCACACCCACACCCACACCCACACCCTTTTCGAGGATACCTATTTTTTTTAGAGTGTAGTTAACTAGCATTCTTGCATTCCTAATGCACTAATAACTCTATATACCTCATTATGACTTACAAACGGTAACCCCTATTCATTTGAGAATGAATTCAGTCATATAGATGCCCAGTCCGACTGGGTACCGGTCAGGCTGGGCACCGGTCGGACTGGGCACCGGTCGGACTGGGTCACCCAGTCGGGCTGGGGTACCGGTCGGACTGGGTCACCCAGTCCCCAGTTCTGCACTGGCACTGGTGCATACCTAGGCGACGTGCGAAACCTTTATTTGGTTTCGAGAAGAACTTCGAAACCAAAAGGGTTCGGCCGTTCGGTGCAAATGCAGAACCTTTTTGGTTTCATATGGAATCAATCTTTTTTGAGAGTGGTTAGTGCAATGTTTTGATTCTATGTCTTCAGGCCGTCCCTTTTCTGCTCACTAAAGAGAGGGATCTCCAGTCACAGCCCTGCCTCCCACGCCTCCTCCGATGAAATGAAAGCACTCCTTGTTGGACTGGTTAGTGCAATGCTTTGATCCTATTTTTTAGGCCATCCCTTTTCTGCTCACTAAGGAGAGGGAGCTCCTCGAACTAAAGTGAAAGGAGCTTGACCATGATAAATGCCATCGTTTAAATTTGTGTGTTTGAACCAGGTATTTTTGACATCTTACGAAACGCAAAATGATGTGAGTCTATGGGCTTTTTTATTTCAAACTGAATTCGAAAATCAAAAAAACCGCACCAACTTCTTCCGAATCAAACTTTTCTCGTTTGATACTACGTAGTCCCACTAAAAACCCTTAGTCCCCCCTAGTCCTGCAAAGTCCCCCTTAGTCCCCCCCACAAAAAGCTTAGTCCCCGCTTAGTCCCTTGTGCAGGGGACTAAAGCCTATAGTACACAAAGCCACAAGCACACCCTCACCCTCACTCGCGCGCCCACACCCGCACCATGGGTGTGGGTGTGTGTGTGGGTCCCAGACCAACACCCACACCCTCAGTCACTCCCCCCCTCACTCCTAGACTCACGTTTCAGTTTGAAATCAAGTATTATTTTTATTTGATAAATTCAGACTGAAATTAAATAGCCCATAGTATGAATGATGTTTATATCGAATAAGGTAAGATAATATGAAAAAAAAAGAAATTATCAAATGGAACAGTAAACTTCAGGATTGATAAAAATGAATGAACAACGGTACGTGACAGACGAGAATGATGTGACAAAAAGAGACGTTGATAAACTTGAAAAATGCTGGATAATTAATTTATAATTGGACGGAAAGTGTCCTCGTAATTTTTTGTCGCGTCACTCGTCGTCCAAAAGTATTCATCTATTTTCCGATCCATATGGAAGTGTCATGTAGCTATGTAAGTCGGATGACTTATTGATCGAAACTATTTTCTATTTTCCTATTTTCCAATTCATATAGAAGTGTCGACTCCACTTATAAGTCGGCTGATTTACCGATCAAAACTATTTTCTATTCTCCTATTTTCCAGTTCATATGGAAGTGTCGTCGCGACTGATAAGTCCGATGACTTAATTGAACCCCACTTCGACAACTCTAATATAAGATTGCACAGAAAATTTCAGGTCGCTATACCATGCTCTTTGAGAAATATGGATATCAAAAATTTCCGGTTCTAAGCGGTTGTATCCGGTTTTAACCGGTTATAACCGAGTGCGACCGGTTCCGGTTCTAAAATGAGGAAACAAAATGAACGAAATGGAGGAACGACGAAATGAAGGAAACGTAGCTGATGGGGACGACAGAGGACGGCCCCTAACAATGTCGATACGCGTTTGTTCGTGTTTTTCGGAGAATCAAAAGCGCGGTTTCAGCGAATACTATTCGACTCATTAAACGACCGAAGAAAGGAAGCAGCAACAAGTATTTTGCGCAAATATCGTGTTGACTCAAGAATACGAACAGAAAAGAAGTCAGATTAAAATATTAGAAGAAAGAGAGGAGGTGGCATCGAGTATACCCGATACACAGGCTTTGAGTAATATGATATTAGTAAAATATTGCTTCTGTAGCTGTATATATATACAATATATGTATAGTATCGTGTCTATTCTTATTAAGATTGGAGAGAATGATCATTATGCGTTCGTTTCACTCATTTTCGACGTCTTTTTTTTCCATTATAATCCTTTCTTGTATTAACAGCAGCAGTGCCACAAACACAAAATCATACGCAGCACGGCTCGGCAATTTTCTGGCTTCACCAAACACGCGATACGAAATCGCCATCCATGTCGAGACTACGATAGAATTGTTCAATGAGGCTGTTCCTCTATTTCAAGCAGGACAGTTTACGATTGGATCTTATCACTACTGCCGAGCTGCAGGTGGCCATGATTGTGGCTTATTTGCAGCAATATGTACAGCAGCAAAGCTTTTCTTGGACAACAATATTGGCACTGTTATTCCGTGGCGTTGGATTATACCACCATTTGATAACTGGTGTCTGGGTCAGCCATTGCTCAAATGTTGCGTAACAGGTCCCGATGAGCAATGCCATAGCGCGTTTAATACTGAAGCGCCGATTAATTGTGAAGCTGGAGCTGGAGTGGGCTATCCGCTGCCTGTTTGGACAGCTGGTTTATGTGTGAGAAGCTGTAATAAACCAGGCGATCCATGTATGTTAGGTTGTACATGCAATTATTTAGCAACATGTAGAATTCCTCGACCACCACAGCAACTGAAAACACTGAGAATGCCATTCACTACTCCTGCGTATCGTCTAGAAACAGATGATTGGTTTATCACCGCTCGTCAAGCTAGTTTTCTACAAGGACTGACAACATTGATCGGTAAACGCATTCAATCCTATCATGATGACAACAATATACATACTTTAACGGACTTACTGACGTTGTAAGTTTAACTTTCTTCTTTCATTTCTCCTACTACTATGTAGTTTTGCCTTCAGTCGAGGATGCAAAGCCAATTGGCTAGATTCGTTCCGTAATATTACCTTAGACATTTGGTCAACTGGGCGAATTTTCAAACCGAAAGAATTAAATGATACTTTCACGAGGGCATTTCAGATTTTCCGCCATGCTCAATTCACAGTTATTGGTCGCTTGGTCAATTCTATTCCATCATTTTGGAAACGTTTCAATTTCATTTCGTCGTATATTTGGACAAATATAGAACGTCAGGCGTATTTATCACAAATTAACAATCAAGCTGAACTCATACTTCGTTCATATTTGAGTCCATTTGTATTGGACCTATTTAAAGAAGCATTTCCTAAGGATTGGCAATTGTTTGCTGTACCAGTCGGTAATGAAACATCATCAGATTGGCTTTTGTCGAATGCACAAAATCCGGTCATCGACGGATGCGAACTTGCTCTACCGACAAAAGCTCAGTTCACAGTTTCAGATGAGCATGGCTATGTAGAAGGTCGACTGACTGTTTTTCTTGCTGCAAGTCAGTGGATTGTCGTACGTCTCGATTGGGGAGATTCGATTCTTTCCGATTCATTATTCACACAATATCAATCAAGCATATTTAGACATTCGTACATATATCCGGGTAAATATATGATACAAGTATCACTGATGAATAGTGCAGGATTATTCACTCACATTCGAAAAACAGTGCACGTCAGTAGCGGTTATACATCCAATATTGTTCATGTTCCTGCCTGTGTAACAAAGCTTCACTTAACAGTTACTGTTCAAGGTAAAAATTATCCGAGCGATGCGGGGACATTAATCATGGCTATACAAGGAGCAGCAACTGATGATTATTCGACAATTGGAGCAGTTAATCTGACGACGATATCAGAAAATAGCGGAGCATATTCATCAGTAACATACAAGACATACACTATTGATTTGCCGTGGGCAGCCGTTACACCATTGCGAAAACTGAAATTCACTTGTCGTGCTTACGATAACTATTTGTACACAAGAGGAACAGTTCTATTCGAGAACATTGCATTAGAAATATTCAGTTCGGAAAATCAGCCAACAAAAGATAGAGTTATTATTACAGCAGAGAATATGGATATGGCATATGTATTACCAGAACAGCAGCGTGGAAAACGCGATGAACAAGGTCGATGGATATTGCCGTGCGCTCGACGAGGCGATGTATTCGAAGATGACGAAACAGTGGCAGTAATAACAATGAAAAATTCCAACGTACTCATATCATCACAAGAGCCCGCGCATGTTCAAAATGATGCTGATGAAGTTCTGTTGGAATACCGACCAAATGAGTTCACTTCTGCTGATCTTCCAACAATACCAACAACACCTACCATATCGGGTGAGAGTGGAGTAGTGCCCTGCGTGATCGTGATCAAAAGCCCTCGCGATCTTCGTGATCTTTGTGATTGTAAAGGAACAAAATTTTCTAATAAGCACAAACTCCTCTTGCAAAAGACAACAGTTTTATTAGAAAACTGAAATTTCATCATCATCACCAAATTAACAAAACTAAATTACAGGATACTTTGCTGATTCTATCACACACACCCTCACCCTCATCTTTAATAATCAGCTCGAATCGATCGAAAATCATACCCGGCTGTTATTTAAATATCTCGAGATCACATAGCGCATTTTGCTATTCTCACGAAATGTTTGTAACTGGGGGTGATAGGTTATTGTCATGTTATGCTATTTATAACAATAACAAAAATAACAAAATAACTTTTTATTTTTCAAAAGCAACAATTTCAACTTGTAACCTACTGTGATAACACCAGTTAAGAGCGCTCATTCTCGTAGGGTCGTTGTCGACCTTCACTAACTCTCAATCTCATTAGATCAGCTTTGCAGATATCTGGGACTTCAATACAGCTAATCACACTATTTCTCTCATCTACTGGGAAGCTTTCTTGATTCGTTATAGGGAAATAGTCCCTAGTAATTAATCGTTTATACACAGATAATTTGTACATGTTTGAGCGTCACTAGAAGTAGAAAAAGCCCGAAAGATCTCTGGTTTCTACGATTCCACTAAAGTATAACTTTTTGATTGCACATGATATTGTATACGAGGCACTTCGACGTAAATCGAATGATAATATCTACGAGCTGAAACATCCGAATGTGTACAAATTGTTAGGTTAAAGACGATCGATTACTATGTAATATTTCCCGACAACAAATCAGCAAAGTTTCCCAGTAGCTGAGAGAAATAGTGTGATTAGCTGTATTGAAGTCCCAGATATCTGCAAAGCTGATCTAATGAGATTGAGAGTTAGTGAAGGTCGACAACGACCCTATGAGGATGAGCACTCTTAACTGGTGTTATCACAGTAGGTTACAAGTTGAAATTATCGCTTTTGAAAAATAAAAAGTTATTTCGTTATTTTTGTTATTGTTACTGTTATAAATAACATAGCATAATAATAGCTTATCACCCCTATTTGTAACTATAAGACGTAGAAAGAAAGTCATTTTCGCTCTACATAGATCAAAAGAAGTGAAATGGCTCTGTCAAATAGCCATCTTAAGATGCTAAAAATATTGAAAACGAACCCTGCGTGCATTGTTCTCAAACTGTTTATGAAAAACTGGCTATCACTGACTATAATTTAGTGGATGGTATCTAAAACAGATTGATGCGAACGATATCTTCTTTAGAATGGTGAAAACTACAGATCGCTAGCTGTCTTAAGAATTAATGCTTGTATTCTATTCTGCTCTGATATGTTCTGAGTATATATGACACAATGGTATGTATGCGTGACTCTTAATCGCTTTCCAGGTCGAAGAATACGGAGTCCATATACGCTTGTAAACGACCGTATACGGTGTCGTATACGACCGTATTTTGGCGTATTACCTGGCTCAGTATTACGACCGTATATCTTTGTGACCGTATACGGAGCGTTTTCCTCCGTTTACGATCATTTTATGATCGTATACGGTTAGATATGCACCAGTACAGTCGGACTGGGTACCAGTCGGACTGGGTACCCAGTCATGACTGGTACCCAGTCCGACTGGTACCCAGTCATGACTGGTACCCAGTCTGACTGGTACCCAGTCATGACTGGGTATCCAGTCATGACTGGGTCATCAATCATTTGACCTTTAGTTTATTAAATGAATAATACTTCCGTCTTTTTTGTCGCATAATAAATTGATATGAACCTATTAAAGACCTAATACGAGCTATATCATAACATTAATTTATTATTCCCGTGTTACTATGTGTCAACTGTGGTCTCATATGGTATTATAAAATAATTTGCTAGATATTCATTAAATTTTTCTGAAAAATATATTCGATATAGGTGTTTCATTATCTTCTGTTTGCTCAGTATTCAATTCCGAGAGAAAGATTTCTGACTGATTGTACTAAAAATCAAAACAAAGTGATTCATTTAATTCAAATATTTGAAGGCTGTTTTGGATCAAACTAACTGTTAGTCTATTTATTTTCAGTGCGAAAGGCACTCTTTGGACTTTATTAATCTCAAAGGATATTTTTATTTTATTAAGAAATCGTAAAACTAATATACAGAATTTGTTATTTACATAGAAGATGAAATTATATTACTTTAGAAATTTGAATAAATAATCGAAATGATTGAATATATATTAGATGTTCAAAACGTGGGTCATCAATCTTAACGTCTCTCTCGGACAAAAAAAACCCTACCTTTTTCCATTAGCTCGTTCTCCTCTTTAATGCATTGCTATATCTTTATTTTCATTTACATATATATATATATATATATCAATTTTTAAAAAAATAACAAATCAACATGAGCTTTTTTTATATATGAAAATTTATTTTTCTTTTCTTAATTTTTTTGTCTTAGTTTTGATTTATTATTAGTGGAAAAGAGATATGAACAAGAAAAAGAAAAAAAGAGGATAGAAGTAGGAGTTAGGAATAGAAAGGGGGAAGAATTAAATAAATAAATAATTATTAACGCGAGGCCTTTCGAATTTAATCTTTATCAAGCGAGTGAATGTGAAAAGTATGATTATGATATAACACTGCTTATATATTCGATCGAAATAATCTATTCATTAACTTATTTAAGTAGACCTAATGGATTGCATAGGACCTTAGTAATTGATCATCTAATCATCAATAGAACGTATGCGTATTCTAATGATTATCTTCTTCCAATTTCCAAAAATTAGAATAAACATTTTTTTCAATCGTATTATTCCATCACACCTAGGGATGCAACGGTGACGATCATTCACCGGTTAACCGACGCCCTCTCACCGGTCCAAACCGATAACCGTAGGTACGGTTACAGGTCCAACTACGGTAACCGTAGGTACGGTTACCGGTCCAACTACGATAACCGTAGGTACGGTTACCGGTTCAAACCATTGCCGATAAAAACAGCATTTGATAAGAAAATAACGATATTTTATAAAGGTTCACGACAGTAAATCGAGGTCGGAGAATCCGAATCTGAAGTCAGTTTTTGAAAATTTTGAGTTTTAGTTCCTCACATATGATGTTTTTCAGGAATAAAGTTTTCTAGAAAAAAAGACGACTTTGAAGAAGCGGTTTAGTCTTGGGAAGAGAAAATTGAAAAGTTCAAGGATCTGATTTCAGATTCAGATTCTCCGACCTCGATTTACTGTCGTCAACCTTTATAAAATATCGTTATTTTCTTAACAAATGCTGTTTTTATCGGCAATGCTTTGAACCGGTAACCGTACTTACGGTTATCGTAGTTGGACCGGTAACCGTACCTACGGTTACCGTAGTTGGACCGGTAACTGTACCTACGGTTATCGTCACCGTTGCATCCCTAATCACACCCCTATACAGATTGTTTATTCGTAAAAAACAATTATTTCACGCGTCAGATATCATTAACAATTGTATCATTATCTAGCCGCGCGTTCTTCTTTTTGTTTTCTGATCATTGGTTTTGAATGCATTACAATACATTATTATTCAATGTTATGATATTGTCTATTACATTTAACGCATTAAAATGCATTATTAATGAATGATATGATATTGTTGATTATATTTAATTCTTTATTACACTTTATTAGGGTGAAGTGTGAGTGTAAATGAAGAGAAGACCTACACCCACATCCACACTCGTCAAGCTGGCTGTTATATTATACACGAACAGGATAAATTGAGTGTGTTTGAAGCATAATTTTAATTTATAGACCTAGGACAGTCCCCAGTTCTATGAACTGTATATTTTCTAAGAACTGGGTATAGCGACCAGTTCTTTTTCGAGAACTGGTTAAAGTGGCCAGTTCTTTGACGAGAACTGTGTACACCCGGCAGTTCTTTTTCGAGAACTGGCTATTGTAACCAGTTCTTTTTCAAAGAACTGGTTGAACAGACCAGTTCCAATCAAAGAACTGTTTGAACAGTTCTCAAGAGCGGAACTGATATGGAACTGTCCTAGGTCTATTAATTTACATTAATGACTATACTAAAATCACATAGTATCAGTAGTCAACTCACGACTCTAAATTCATGAAGAGTCGAACAGTGCACTTTTTTTGATAAAATTTTCAACCTTCGATGTTTAAATATGCGACGGAGAGAAAAACTACCCATCCTCAGTTATATGGACAGAACTAATTCATCTGAAATTATTTTATAATACCGTATATGACAAGAGTTGACACATAGTGACACAAGAATAATCAATTAATACTATGATATAGCTCGTACTAGGTCTTTAATAGGTTCATATCAGTTTATTATAATGTGACAAACAAGAGGGAAGTATTATTCATCTAATAAACTAAAGATCAGATGATTGATGACCCAGTCATGACTGGGTACCAGTCATGACCGGCTACCAGTCAGACTGGGTACCAGTCATGACTGGGTACCAGTCGGACTGGGTACCAGTCATGACTGGAACTGGTGCATACCTATATACGGTCGTATGTGATCGTATATCGCCATCCTATACCTCACATCTCATATATTATACCCCACCAATACCCAACCTATACTACACTACGTTATACCCCTTATCACTGAAATCAAATATCTCCCCACCCATAACACTTCTTAACTACCCCCCCCCCCCCCCCCCCCCCCCCCCCCCCTCCCCCACTCCACCCACAAACTAGTCTATTTAGGACTACTACTACTTACTTTAATCGATCTTACAACCCATATCTCTTACTCTTTAAAACGATTGAAAAATAATAATAAACAAAAAATTCCATTTGTCTCAAATGTGCCCAGAACCTAAATGAACGATATTCGAAAGGTCCTGATATTCTTCTGCATCATTTCGAAGAAGACCAGGACTGTTTCAATAATGTATGGTGGACTCTAATCGACCTTTTCCAAACGTTCGAAATAATAATAAGACTTCTTTCTAAGTTTTTTTCACAAAAAACCAAAAATTGTGATGTTGCAACCATTATAACAATGAAAATGGTCCTGTAACTCATCCAAATCGATTCGTATGGGTAAATCCATGGGAAACGTACCACGTTTACATTGACTTTCTCAGAATTGGCTGAAATTTTCAGAATTTGTAGAGCTCAATGAACTGATCATTTTGGTAATAAATTATTAAAGGTTTGGTTCTGGATTAGGGTCAAAATAGGCAAAATACATTTTTCAAAAATTCCGGAAAATCATGATTAAAGTGAAAAGTTCTCATTTTTACGAGAACATTTTCTCTTTCATTTCAAGAACAAATTGGAACATTCTATATATATTCTGATAGCCCATGCTCAGCTCTATCGAACCATATATGATTCAAAATGTTTCCATGTTTTAAGGAAAATTTTTAATTGAACCACAAAAAGTTCACTGCAACACAAACTTTA